GGGTGGGTGAGGGGCCTGTGAAAGCTTTCCCCATCGGTCCAGATTCCTGGGCGGGTGGGAGAAGCGGGGCGGGGGGGGGCTGTGAAAACTTCTCCCAGCCATCCAGCTTCCTGGGGGGGCGGGCGAAAGAAGCAGCATGGGAGGGGCCTGTGAAAGCTTCTCCCGGATTGGGGAGAGAAGGAAGCAGCAACCCTGGGCCTAGCAGGGCCCAGGGAAGCCGTGGGGACAGTTTGGGGGGGGGAAGAGAAGGAAGCGGCGACCCTGGGCATGGCAAGGCCCAGAGAAGCCGCAGCCAAGGATCGGGGGGGTAAGGAAGCGGCGACCCTGGGCCTAGCAGGGCCCAGAGAAGCCACGGGACTGGTGAGAGGGGGGGAAGAGAGGACTGACGACTGTGGGCCTGGAAGGGCCCAGAGGAAGTGCAGGACTGGTGAGGGGGAGGGAAACTGCGACTCTGTGGGGCTTCTCCGGCTGGGGACTCCGCAAAGCAGCCAGCCAACCCAGCCAGTGTCTTCTGACTGGCAGTTCTTGCGGCCAACCACTGTTGGTGCGCATTGAATGTTGGACGCGATAATGGCTTTATATATAAGGACAGGATTTTATCTTTTACACATGTAGAGAATATGTGCAATAAAAAAAGGACCACAGTCAAAAAAACTTCTGGATGCAAGTCACTGCTCAGAGTAAACTGTAAAACTTAAAAGCAGTCTTTTCAGTAGCACAAGCAGCATCAGTGGAAACTTCAAAGAAACAGCTAGCTCCATGCATGATTCTACAACCAAATGTGCAAAGTGAATGGAAAGCTGGCTTGCTGCATAAAGGCTAGGCATTCCTAGGTTTATAATATGCCACTAAACCTTATACTCAGTGTTTCAGGAGCCACATGTGGCTCTTCCAAACACAGTTTCCCATGGTACCCACCCAATGTTCCAGGGAAGTGAGCAGTTTCTTTAGAAATGGGAATAATTTGATCATTATTGTGGGCCTAATATAAAACCGCCTTATTTTTAAAACACAATACAAGTTGCCCATGATGATTATATCAAGGTTGTGGAGATGTAGGAGTTTGATGTATGAGACTGGAGCAACATATGGAGTTGAATGAGGTGAGGGAAATGAGGCATACCACTACTGAATGCTAACTTCTTGCAAGTAGAAAATTTAACAAAGAGAAAGGTTCTAACTGCCCCTTCTCCTGCAGAAGTAGAGTAAAACCTGAAGGGAACTTTTACCATAGAGAAGCATTTACTTGTTTTTTTAACATCCAACCTACTAAAGAGAACTTGAAATCTTGCATACTGTTTTGTATCATAACTGACTTGTAAGTCTTTCCCGTCTCTCAAGATACACAAAGGCTGGCTAAGGTTCAACAGTAGTGGGGACAGAGAACCATACATGTTCAGAGTTACTCTGCTAAAAGGGTTATATGTTATAGTTATATATTATTGTTTGTGTGCGCTTAGGTTAGTGTACAGTATACACTAATGTGGCTCCTTTGGTTGATAGGAATTGCAAATGTGGCTCTCTGTGATAGAAGTAATTTTGATTACTCTACCCTGGATCCATTTCACTCGGCTTCCACCCTGGTTATGGGATGGAGACAATGCTGGTCACCCTCATGGATGACCTCTGGAGGTACCTGGACTGGGGCAGGTCAGTGCTGCTGTTACTTGATCTGACAGCAGCGTTTGACATGGTCACTTATGATCTTATGTTAACTGCCTCGCCAACGGCTTATCTCTTTTCTCCAAGGTCAGGGACAGAGAGTGACGCTTAGGGAGAGGGTTTCACAGTGTTACCCGTTGTTATGCGGCGACCCTCAAGGGGCGATCCTCTCCCCTATGTTATTTAACATCTGCATGCGCCCTCTCACCCAGCTGGTCCAAAGGTTTGGGCTAGGCAGTCACCAGTACACTGATGACACCCAGCTATATCTGCTGATGGCCAGCCACTCAGATACCACTGCAGAGGTCCTGGCCAGGGCATTGGAGGCCATGACTGATTGGCTGAAACAGAGTCGACTGAAATTAAATCTATCAAAGATGGAGGCCCTATGCCTGAGCCACAGGGGGATGGAATTGAGAATCTAGGTTCCCACCAGAGGTCATTTCGGGGGGGAACGTGGGGGAACACAGTTCCCCCGGGTGAGGTGCAGGGGGGCGGGGCACATGATGAAGCCCCGCCCCCTGCTTCCGGCCGCCCCGCTTCCAACCCTCATTCAGCCAGGAGGAGGCAGGAGAAGAGGGAGGGTAAGTTGCTCCCCCCCCGCCTCTCCCCACCCCTGCCTGCCTGGGGCCAGGGAGGGCCTTGGCGGGGCTTCCTCGCACTCCCGCTGGCCTTGCAGGTCCACTGCCGGGCCCCTGATGTCAGGGGGTGTGGCATATGCTAATGAGTTATGCGAATGAGTTCCCCTAGCTCTTTTTCTACGAAATGACCCCTGGTTCCCACCCTTGATGGGACACTGTTAACACCAACGCTAATAGGAGGAGCCTGGACGTGATCCTGGACACCTCACTTTCAGTGGAGGCCCAGGTCACAAATGTTGCCAGGTCTGCCTTTTACCATCTTTGGCAGGTCAGGCAATTGGCTCCCTACCTTTCCTCCCATGACCTAGCCACAGTGATCCATGCATTGGCCACGTCCAGGTTGGACTACTGTAGCTCACTTTATGCAGGGCTACCCTTGAAGCTGATCCAGAAACTCCAGCTGGTTCAAAATGGGAGCTCAGGGCAAGCACATATGTAGTTATATATGTTTGTAGGACTGTGTGTTTGAAGCTGTGCACAAAAATTGCTGATCTAGTTTCTATAAATGATGTTCCGTGTAAAAAAGACTATATAGTAAATGTGGCTTTCATTTGGCAGTACTTGACAACCGTTATTCCTTATGAGAAGAAAAGTGGACCTCCATCCATTGATGATCTCCAAACACTAACAAAAAGTAAGTAAATGCCCATGTGTTATCTTTCAAAGGTAGTCTTCTGTGTTACTTTGCTGGGATATCCAGAGAGCCATCAAGAGGACACTTCTATAGTAAATCTTCAGAAGAATTTATCTCAGGGTGAGCAAAATATTTTCTGCTCCAAAATCTAAAATGCCTGGAGTTGATCAGCCACCTTGTATTTGTCCAGATAAACTCAATAAGTCAATAATGGTTCATATCCTCCTGATCAAGTGTCCCACGGCGTCTTTGAATGTAATTGGCATTACTCCATGGCACTAATATCAATAACATCCTAATCAATGGAACTAACTTATGTTTAGTTCTAATCAGCCTGGAATGCAAAGGTCAAGAACACACATAATTAGACCAACCTCTCCCAGTTCTTTGTCTGATTCCTAAGGACTCCATTAAAACTCTCCTAAATAAGCAATAGTGAAAAAAAGGAAACAAATATCCTAATTCTGCTAAAATCATAACATCTTTAGCCCGGGACTCAACAATTCCAGCTGCCAGGAAACCTGAAGTTTCTTGTGGCACCTAAAGATTTGAATCTTGAAAAGCCCTTACAGAGTTTACAAAGAGGAGGAGCAAATGTCAGCGCTTAAAAGGAATGGCCTGCAAAACTTCTAAAGGTAAAGGTTCCCTTGCTCGAAAGCTAGTCGAATCCGACTCTAGGGTTGCGGTGCTCATCTCCGTTTCAAAGCTGAAGAGCCAGCGCTGTCCGAAGACGTTTCCGTGGTCATGTGGCCGGCATGACTAAACACCAAGGCACACGGAACGCTGTTACCTTCCCACCGAAGCAGTACCTATTTATCTACTTGCAATTTCTTGCTTTCAAACTGCTAGGTTCTAGCACAGAGCTAATTTATTGCAAGGATATGAGCTCTGGTGCAAACAGAGCTCAATGGCTGCTGGCATCCTTTGCCTTTGTTGGGAATTTCTCTCTCCTGACCCAGCCAGGGAAAGCTGGAGGCAGGCAGGTGAGTGTGCTTGGTGGAGTAGGCAAAAGTCCTTCCCCACAGGGAGGCCAGAAACCTGGCCCGGAGAAGAAGCAATAAATCTTTCAGTCTTTGATACTAATTTTAGTGGTATTGGAATCCTTCAGAGCACAAATAATTGTGAGTATTTTTATATTCAGGTTTGGTGTACACATTATATGCACAGAATTATGATTTGTACTAATTGAATCACTGCTGGGGGCCATCCCCCTCAGCAAAAGGACTCTGTGCTTGATTTAAACAATGGTTCTTGGGTATTTTCTTACGTTACTTCCATTCTAGTTACATAGCAGCCTAGTGGTAGCAGCTGGCCTGCCTTACAACATTAACTTAAACAAAAGAGGCTTGAGTCTGGAAAAGTTTGTGCTGCAACACATGTCTTTTAGGTGCCACAGAATTCTTGTTCTTGTTGACACAAACTTATATGGCTATCTCCCTGGATAGGCCCAATTTGTTTTTTGTTTAAAGTCAGCTGAATCAAATGCTGAGTTTTTAACTAACACAGTCAATGTGCAGGATCTTTTTCAGAGCACAATAAGGTAGATCCCTGTCCCAAGGAGCCTACAATCTATCATTTGAGACAAGGATGATGACAAAGAAAGGGGAGAGAAGATGGAGGTGGGGAGAAACTGGGGAAGAATGTGTGTATATGACACGTATATGGGCTTATTTACTGTAGAGGTAGGGAACTAAGAGGTTGTGAGTTTTCAAGTTTTTCCTGGGCTGTGCCTCTTCAGGAAAACATCCTCACATGCACAAAATGTTTTGCATTCCATCTGACAGAAGGTGAGGAAGAGGCAACTCTGCTCCTTATTCCGAAAGGTAGTCCAGGGTCTTGGGCCAACTGCATGAAAGGCCCTGCTCTTCATAACTAATTGGTGTTTTTACCTCTTAGAGCAGAGCCTGACCTGTTATAACTTCAAGGCAACATTCAATTCTGGGCACCTTAATTTTGGAGCTGGCTCCTAGGTCCAAAGAAAATTTGTCAAGGCCTGTCTTAAGCCTGAATGTAGACAAATCTTATGCACAAAGTGCTTAGAACAGTCACAGCCAAGTTGCTTTAAAGCAAGGAGAAGGCAACTGCAAGTGTCTGTTCACCGTACGTAAAAGCTTCAGAGGACGCCTCTGTGTAAAGAGTTAACGATGTTGTTTTCCACAGACTAGCTGAAACTTGATCCCTGTCTCAGTAACAGACTTCCTGACTCTCTCTGGTAACACTGGAGTGAGGCAGACCTCAAACAATTTATTTAGAACATTAGATTCTCTCAGCTGTTAGACCTGAATATTTTCAATACAAACAGTAAATAGAATGCCCAAGAGTTGTTGCATGGGAGGTGTTCTTTTCAGTAGATGAGTGCATTATTTCCCTCTTCAGCATGGCTGTACTTAACTACAAAATAAGCTCTCTCCTTTTGTAAAGCAACCTGAGAAAAAAATCCAGACAAATTTAAACTGGTTGATGTGGATAATTTGGACAATACCTCAATGATAAATGTTTATTTCTTTTTGTGTAGCCCTGAAGAAAGTGGCCTTTTAAAAAAAAAACTGTTTAAATACAGTATGCATAAAATTTATGAACAGTAGTACAAAGTTTGAGTCCAGTGACACCTTAAAGACCAACAAAGTTTTATTCAAGGTATGAGCTTTTGTGTGCATGCACACTTCTTCAGATACATTGAAATGGAAGTTAACAGTCAATACATATAGGCAGAGGGTGACCTATATGTATGGTCTGTTAACTTCCATTTCAGTGTATCTGAGGAAATGTATGTGCAGACAAAAGCTCATACCTTGAATAAAACTTTGTTGGTCTTAAAGGGGCTACTGGACTCAAACTTTGTTCTACTCCTTCAGACCAACATGGCTGACCACCTGGATCTATTTGTGAATGCTGTTATTTATAATAGGCCCAACTTAAAAAAACCCCAGCAATGTGTGTTAGTTCAGGTGTTTGGAACTGTGTTGTTTTGCCTGTATCAAACAGTGACCCTCTGTAGTCCCTGTAGCTTGTATAGCATACATTTGTACAGGCTTAGTCTGTCAAAGTAGCTCTTACAGTTAGGAGGTTTAATTATGTTTGAAGTTCTGGAATTACTTCACAAACCAATTCAAAAGCTCATGCTTTTGGCCAGCTTCTTGAATTTTGTAAATTCTTGAACACAATTTTGGCGTTCTTAAGACCACACAAGCGCTTCTGACCCTAGTCTGAAGTTCTTAGTGCTTTTGCAGTGGGACGAGTGTTCCATAGGCGTGAAATAAAACCCCGTAGGCATGAATATCTTTCACATTCCTGGAGTTCCTACTTGTAAAAACTGCCATTGGCTCTCAAGAAACTGGAGTGAATCATGGTTACAAAGTATTTGTATATGATAGACTTAGTGTTGCTGACATAAACAGAACTCCCCCCCCCCATAAATGTAGAAAGTTTTAAATTACAAATACTAATCTAAATCTTTCAGCTATTGCCTTTTGATTTCTGGGTTTATTTGTGAATTTATTATCACACTCTGCATCTTCTTATGCTCTACAAGCTTTTAACACTACAGAAAACTTGTCTAGTACTTACTTGACCTTATTTATAGAAGCAACATTGTTAGTAAACAACTCTGTTAAAATCTGTCCCAACCTTTGGCCTTTCTAGACTTCAGATATTCAATTTCCAAACATGTATTTTTATCAGTGTACATCTCGTACAATGTTTTGGTGAGAATTTATTTGGTATCCTCCCAGCTCACTAATTAGTCACAGACAGTGTTCCCTCTAAGCTGAGTTAGTGTGAGCTAGCTCACAGTTTTTTAGCCTCCAGCTCACACATTTTTGTCTTAACTCAGGAAGGACGGCTCCAGAGCAAACTAATTGATGCAGTAGCCAAATCGCTTGCTCACAACTTTAATGCCGGTAGCTCACAAAGTAGAATTTTTGCTCACAAAACCCCACAGCTTAGAGGGAACATTGGGACTCACAGACCCAAAATGAGAGTTCCTGGTAATCCTTCAGGGTCCCCCTGTTCAGAGTATTTGCTGGATAATACCAGATAGTTTTGACTTCTCTTACCCCCACCCCTTGCTCCAATATTACTGCACTCTACCTCCCTCCACTAAACAGTTCTGGGGATTGGGGGTGAGAAAATAAGGTCAAGGAGAGAAAATAAGAGAGGAGTCGCATATGTGAAGGGGTACTCCTATCCAATGCTCCCTCTAAGCTGTGGAGTCTTATGAGCAAAAATCCCACTTTGTGAGCTGCTGGCATTAAAGTCGTGAGTGAGCGATTTGGCTACTGCATAAATTAGTGTGCTCTGGAGCCATCCTTCCTGAGCTAAGACAAAAATGTGTGAGCCGGAGGCTGAAAACCTGTGAGCTAGCTCACACTCTCAGCTTAGAGGGAACACTGCTCCTATCCCAGTTTCTTCATAAATTTCTCAGATTTTTCCCCCTTTTCATTCAACAGTGTATGACTGTGGTCTCGTAACACCTCTCTGTGACTGCTTTAGGTATTGCACCTCACAGAATACAGTCCTTTTGGATGGTAGTCTTGAGAGGGGAGTTGTTTGCCATGTACAAGTGGAAGAAATAGAAAGTATTTTAACAGTGCCATGTACAATTAGTATTGTCATCCAGAGTGTATTTTGTTTGGAAGGGTATGTGTGAATGATGTTTAGAGCAGTGTTCTGCATGTTTTCTCTTATAAATGACTAAATTGAAAGTAATGCTCTAAACTACTGGTTCTTCCACTGACTGTATTCCCCACATTTGACAGTTCTTCATGCCATGAAAGAAGACAGCGAGAAAGTGCCAAGCTTATTAACAGACTACATCTTGAAGGGTGAGTATGCCTACGGCCAGCCATGTGGTGACTTTTTAAAAATGTTACTATGCAGATTGGGTGCTTTAAAGTATTATTTCTGACAGTGTCATAAGTTTAGCAGCATTGCCTTTTCAGTGCTCTTAAACTTGCATTTTATGTGAACAGGAGCCTCCAAGCATGTTGTCCTATAAATAGCATAGTGAGATATTGATGATACTATTGGGCTGTAAAACAAATACAGAGAATCATATAGTATTAAGACTAAAATGCTTGGCTTCATTTATGACAATTCATTCTCAAAGAAAGATGTAGGATTTTAAAGACCTTAACATCAGTTGGATCCTGCTATATGGCTTAGATCCAGCCAAAACGTTCCATCAGAGGAATGGAGCTTCCTTTCTTCCCCTGTCCTACTGCAGCCTGCTGATCTCCATGAAATGCTGTTCCTAGGGGACAGGGGACTCTGAAGAATGACTGGGGGGGGGGGTCTGCAACAGGAAATCAGTAGAACTTGCCAGTTAAGTCTGGATCCAACCCTGTGTCTGTAAATCACAATGTAAAGTGCATTTTATCCCATCTGTCCTCCAAGGAGCTTAAGGGACAGCATAGGTAGTTATCCCTTAACCATTTTAAAATAAGGGTAGGCAACTGGTGGTTTTGGTCCTATGCCAAGGGTTTGAAACATCTGATTTTCTGATGCTGTTCATTCTGGATGTATGGTGTTAAAAAGCCGATTGTCTGTGTTTCAGGACTGGTTCAAAGCTGAGGCTTAAGCTTTAGAATACCAGCTGAATCCACAATGTTGCATGCCAATTTATAAGGGACATTTTGTGTTCCACTTGATTATTCAGATGATTTGTGTTCCACTTAATTATTCAGATGATTAGAAAGCAAGGGAAATAGTGTAGTACTATTGATTCATGCAGTGCCAAATGGCAAGAGAGTAATTTATGACTGTTTATTTAGGGCAAACAATTGATGTGAGCTATCTGAAGGGTATGCAGATTTTTGCAGGGTAGGAAAATCTGAAGCTCCCAGAACTGGATAGGTTGACTGCTTCTTGGCAGTAGATACTGAGTGACCAATTTGATAGGTTTCTTGGCAGTAGATACTGAGTGACCAATACTGTAAGCTTTAAATGGCTCTGCCTTTAAAGTCAACTTGGAAAGTGTGAAACACCACAGCATGGTTACTATCAAGTGCTAGGCATGTCACATTCAATCTGCAGTTACTCTACAGTTTACCTATCAGTTACCAGGTTCAGTTCAAGGGACTGGTTATCTGCAAAGCCCTTCATTGCCTTTGACCCACATACCTACAGGACCGTCTCTCCTGCTATGCTCTGCCATAACAGTATCACTCATCTCAGCAAAGGCTTCTGAAGGTGCCACCCTGCAAGTGGGTAAGATCCACAATTGCCTGTTCACATGCATTCTCTGTGGCAGCTCCCACTTGGGGAACGGACTGGTCAAGGAGGTCAGGAAGGCTCCCACACTTCTGTCATTCCACAGAATGTGCAAAACAGGAATGTTCAGGAGAGTGTTTTATAGAACTGTGTAGCAGAATGGAATGGTCCAGGCAGGCACCTTTGTAACAGAATAGGACTTCACTGCAATGATTCTTCCAGGTATCATCTTGCTTTTCCTGTGTAATTCCACTACACTTTGCCTATGCAGTTGGGTTCTCATTGTCCTGTAATTTCATTGTTTATTAGATGTCTTATATTGTATGATTGCTTTTTTAAATTCTGTAATCTGTCTTGAGTCTCCGTGAGAAAGGTGGAATATGAATAAATAGATTAATGGAAGCTTTATTTTCCCACCATCACAGTGTGAATTGGGAAGGAGAGAGTTCAGAAATAGCTGTCGCTCCCCTGTCTGTGGCTGTAGAAAGGAATAAGAGGATCCTTATTCCTCTTGTACTGCCACTGTATAGTCCTAACATGCAGCAGCCGGTTATATGCCTGTGACTGCATGCAAGGATTTCTATGCATTCCTCTGTGGAATACATAATTAATCCTAGGTTAGACTTTCAGAAAGCAAGGTAAAATTGGGAGGGTCTTTGAATTCTGAAAAGTTTAAGAAACAAGAAGCCAACAGCTGTATTGTTGATTGCCTAGGGGAAACTGCGGTGTTAGTTGGATCCACACACTTGCTCATAATTTCACTCCTGGCATCATTTAGCACCTTGGGGTACATTCAGTGCTACATTTTCAAGCAGTAATTTACTCTAGCAGTGAAATATTTTCCACATTGTTAAATGGCAGTAGGAACCCTAAGGAACTGAAGTATCTTTCTGCTGTTTGAAGACATACGTGAAAAGCTTGCACCTTCTTTCCAAGTAGGACTTGTAAAAATGGGATGAGTTCCCATCAGTATAGTGATATAAGGCAACTGAATTCTTCTTCTGTACTTTCCATATAAGAATAATACACTCCAGAAGCTTTACGAAAAATGCCCCAAAGTTTTTGTGACTTTGTTTTCTCATTTACATGAACATTTCACAATGTAACTGTCTAGAGAATACTATCAGAACACAGTGAATAGTATTAGAATATGTTTAAGTAATCTCTTCCAGTCCATTGTTCTTGGGTGCTGTAACAATGGTGGGTACAGACTATTTGGTACGCAGTTTTATTAAGTTGATCCACACCTAACTTCCCACCGAGCACTTCACTGTGTGGTTTATTTACAGGGAAGGGTTACATGTAAAGGATGCTGTTATATATGATGGCTTTCTCATAATGGCATTCAGAAATTATTACAACACAATACTTGGAGGAATTACACTCCTCTCTAACTGTCACTGAAATGCAGTATAGGAATAGTGTGTGCGCTGAAATATTGGGCAAGACCCTATGAACAATGAATAGCAAAAGTTCACAGAGGAGAGCTCTATTCCTTCCTTTTGCACTCTTCCAAAGTGTTGGTCCTGGGGTTAAAGTACCCTCAGGGATAGTGGGATAATAATCAGATTATTGTAGTAATATTGTGTTCCTTTCTAATTTTTATGTTATTTTATTTTCATATTTCAAATTAGCAGCAAGATTAAATATTTTGCTTTAAATGTTGCAAGAGATTGACTATTCTAAGATCAGCAAACTGTTTATCATAAGGAAATTTTTGGGGGGGTTTCATTTTGACACCTAAACCTGACTTCTTCATTTGCTTTTGTGTTGTGCTAGCATTGGTTTGAAAGCTGGATTGCTCTGAGGTTTGTGTCTTTTAGATGTTTTAGGAATGAGGAGTATGTAAAGGACATGTCTTGACTGCCACTGTATATAATCTATAGGTTGTGCACGTCAGGACAGTGTATGTCTTTCTTCAGAGACTCCCTCACAGGGTATCTGTTGTGGGGAGGGGAAGGGAAAGGAATTTGTAAGCCGCTCTGAGACTCCTTTGGGTAGTGAAGGGTGGGGTATAAATCCAGTCTCTTTTTCTTCTTCTTCAAAATGTCTATATTGTACATTCTTTAATTAGTGCTTTATGAATGTTCTGCAAAAAAGCTAATGAATTTTCTTCAGGGACTCATCTCAATGTCTAAGACATGTCCTTGTAGTTAACTCATTTCTGTAAGAAATTAGCTGATGGTTGTGTGTGTGTGTGTGTGTGTGTGTGTGTGTGTGTTTTATGGGTTTTTGTTTGTGTGCTGGGGATAAACTTCATATTCATTCTACATAAGTTACTGTGTCTAAACTTGTAGACCATAGACATAAGGCTTCTAGTTTGATTAGCTTGTATCTGATCCTATTTTCAGCTGAGCAAAGTCCAATAATATTAATTGATATGTATCTTGGTGTTTTTTTCCAGTTCTATGCCCTACATGAAGAGTGCTATTTAGGAGGAAAGACAACCATTCCTGTGAAAACGGTTGTTTAAAGCCTTTCCATTTAGTTGGCACTGTGTTGACTTCTAATGTATTTACTACTTTCATTGCCTGCTTGGACTTTTGGACCATGGACTAAGTTCTTGGGAGCATGTAGAACTCTGTTAGCTTTTTTCACACTTAACCATGAAGTATTCAGATGAAGAACAGAGACTGTACAGTTTTACTCACAAACATTGTTTTGGCTTTTTCAGTACTATTTTTTACAAAATGTGGCACGTAATTCTTCTCCACAGCCATCTGCTTGGGTGGAGGAAGAATAAACTTTTTGTGTAAATAACAGAAGCCTATAAAGTTTAGCTAAAAGAACTCCAATCAAACTGGCAATGGGCTGTTGTGTCAAGAGTGCAAAATGAATCAGAAGCTGAAGCTGTACTGCAAGAATTCAATGGAAGTTCTTCATTGGGCATGCCAGTGTGGGAACTAGCACTGAGCTTCTGTTTTATTTTATTTTTTTTAATCTCCAGCATTAACATAATAGTACAAACAGTATTGTTGTGTGTTTACTGATTCTCATGAATTTTTCACCCACCTTTAGAAGTAAAAAGTTGTGTAGAGCATTTGTTGGCTTGCTAATTGACTGGGAAGTTGCCTTGCACAAGTCCAAATGAAATGATGAGGATAGGAGAACTTCCTGATGGATTTTCCTCCATACCCCTGTCTCATCACCTCCATTTCCTAAACTTTATTTAAAAATAATTTAGTTGAATGTGGATATCTTGCTGCTATTGTGCTTTTTAGCCTACATGTTAAATAAATGTTTGGTCATGGTATAATCTTTTATATGCTACAGTATGTTAATGAATACTTTTTAAAGACTCACTGTCCTGTACTTCATTTACATACAATACTTTTACCCTTAGTGTTTTCCACATAGGAACAGGCTTGTATGGTTCCCCTGTTGCCAGTGCAGCACACAGCAACAGGGCTTCCAGGTAGTGGATTTCCCTGCATTTCCCTGCCCCAGTCATGTGGCAGCCATCTCTGTCCACACAGTGGGAAGGGTGTTCTTTTTTTTTTTAAACCACTCACTGACTGACAGAATGATATACCATTATCTGTATGTCAGTTAACAATTAAAAAAAATCAAAAGCCTACTGTCCATGGATGGCAGGGCCGGGGGCCTGAAGCACCAAAAATAATACCCAAGTGGTTGGGACCAGGAAAATCTGGACTTTCCTGCCTGCACAGAAGCTACTAGACTTTGCTGTGATCATTCCCATAATATTACAGCAAAGTACATTTAGGAAAGATCACAGAGGAGACCAGAAAACCTGTTTGGCATGAAAGTACCACGGTGCTGCAGGGAATCGTGTGGAAAACCCACTTTCTAAAAGCATCCATCCCAAAGCAAACAAGCCGCCTTCTACTGGTATATAGCATGGAATCTCAAAATTGTTGAACTTGAAAACCTGGAAGAGATTGACACTTGTAATGATCAGGATAGGTGAACTTCCTGGTAGATTTTGCTCGAAACCATTCTCTCATTAATTTTATTTTCTATCCAGAGGGCTGGGTGGAGTTGTAGATTAGGCAGAGGGCGCATTGGAACATCTACTAGGAGCTTACTGTCTTCCAGATAATCCTCCAGGGGGCAGTGTCCTTATCCTAACATAGAACACGACAGCCAAGGCATAAATAAATTGCCAAGGAAGAATCAGATCAATACTGCAGGAGGTCACTCGTGGATTGCATAACAAGCCATGTTCTCTGTTCTCCGTCATGGCCCATTTTCAGGGGGTCTACAATGCCAGAAATGGATATATTGACAAAATTCATTTCTATCAATTGGTGCAGCTGCCTCAGTAGAACCATGTGAAAAATGAAATCATTACCTAGTGGAATCTTGTCAGCATATCATTGGGAAAACATTTTTACTTCATACAAGTTAAATTAATAAAATTCTCCACAGTGTTATCAAAAATCTTGTTTTTCTAAAATTCTAAAAGTGGTAGGAAGAAAGCACCTCATTAGCTGCAGAGATGTCAGAGGTAAATGCCAGGTAAGTCATCAGGCCTAAGTAAATCATCAAGGAAAGACTGTAAACACTACCCAGGAGCAGTGTTCCCTCTAAGCTGAGTTAGTGTGAGCTGGCTCACAGTTTTTTAGCCTCTGGCTCACACATTTTTGTCTTAGCTCAGGAAGGATGGCTCCAGAGCAAACTAATTGCTGCAGTAGCCAAATCGCTTGCTCACAACTTTAATGCCAGTAGCTCACAAAGTAGAATTTTTGCTCACTAGACTCCACAGCTTAGAGGGAACATTCCCCCGGAGTGGTGAAAACTTACCCTTTCCCCTAGAGTATTTCCAAGGATTTCATGACAAGAGGTTTATAAAACTTTGCACAGGGTAGAGAGAGTTGACAAAGATACATTTTTCTTCCTCTCCCAAGATACTTGGACTCAAGCGCATCCCATGAAGCTGATGGGCAGTAGATTCAAGACTGACAAAAGGAAATACTTCTTTACTCAACAAATGATTAAAATGTGGAATTTGCTGCCAGATGATATAGTGATGGCCACAAGCATAGACAACTTTAAAAGGGGATTAGATGCAGGACAGGTCTATCAGTGGCTACTAGCCATGATTACTAAAGGGAATCTGGTGCCTAAAAAGAACCTCCACATTTAGGGGCAGTAAACCTCTGAACGCTGGTGCCACAAGGCAACATGAGGGAAAGGCCTCAGCATCTATGCCCTGTAGTTGGACTTCCAGAGAAGCTGTTTGGTTACTGTGTGAGACAGGATGCTGGACAAGATGGACCGCTGGTCTGATCCAGCAAGGATCTTCTTATGTTCTTATGATTCTTCAGTATCCATGCAAAGTGGCAGAACATCACCCTTTGCAAACTGGAACCAAGGCTGCCTTCTTAGAGACATGCTCAGTCTCTGGTGGGGATATTTGCACCCACCAGTGAATCACAAGCTAATTTGCTATATCACAAGCCTCCAAAGTGAGGAATCAAAACATTCTGGGGCCTTTTCCAGCAAATAAGGGAGCTGATATTTCCAGGATCAGATCAGCAATAGCTGATTTTGCAAAAGGCTTCCCAATCCAACTCCAGTATTTTCACTAACACTAATATTGAAATCAGGAATTGAACATGGCTGGTCCAAGGCAGATTGATCCATTAAATCATAAAGGGACACTATTTTATATGAGTAGAAGACTCAGAGGCAAGGTATACTGCCCATATGTTGCATACTAGCTGGGGGCATTGGAAAATAATGGGCGATAGACCTGGTCTGAATCTGGAGCCCAGGTATACTGCCATCCATAGAAACTAAGATCTAATGGGCCATGGAGCTTGTGGGAGCCAAGGCATACTTCCCATCTCTCCTCCCTCCCTCCCTCTCTCCTGTTCCTGTGGTTTCGAGGGGGGGAGGCACAAAAATTATCATAATTTTCTTTGGAAAGGCCATGATTACCATTTTCACTTTATTGTACCAATACAGCAGAAATATTTCATGAAGCTGCCTTATACTGAATCAGACCCTTGGTCCATCAAAGTCAGTATTGTCTTCTCAGACTGGCAGTAGATCTCCGGGGTCTCAGGCTTCACAACACCTCGTACCTGATCCTTTTAACTGGAGATGCAAGGGATTGAACCTGGGGCCTTCGGCATGCCATGCAGATTCTCTGCCAGTAAATAGCCCTGATATTTAATGAAAATTATAATCATACTCTTCCCCACTTTCCAATATGGCATTAAACTGATAAATTTTTCAATTGCACACTCTTACCTATGATACCATGTTATCAACCCTTCCCATACAACCTTTGTCCATTGAACATTATCAGGTTAATTCTGGGTGCAGCAACATCAAAGCAGCTCCCATGTTACTGTTTGTTACCTATGTACCTGCCAGCTTAAACACAGTGACAGGCTGAAATTAACAATCTCAATAAAGCTATCGTAGCTTCGGAGATCCTCATCATGACCGAGCACAGTAGCTATGAAGGAAGTCTCATATTATTCACCTCTGAGCAGGAAATTCTGACCTTTCCTATGGGGATGCTAATCTCACCACAGTAATGCATATCTTCGTGCGCTCCAGATCAGTTTACCTCAGCTTGCACTTCAATTTCATGACAGTCGGAAATAGCAGCTAGTTCAGAAAGCGGGTGCTTGTGTACTTAGCAACAGAGTTTGTGATGTACACCTGTGATCTGTGACAGAGACTGTAAGCAATTTTACACCCCTCTGATTTCAACAAGATGTAAGCAAATCATTCATCAACTCCAACAGAAATCAATGGACCTAATAAAAACATTTGGAATGTGACATAATTCAGTCACAATACAACCACATTTAAGCACTTGTAATTCTCATGATGTTCAGTTCTGGTGGTGGATTATTGTTTCAACATCTAATGGGTTTTGGGGGGGGTAATTTTTTATATTCTAAGTTGCTTTAACAGCACAGTGTTGGGTCAACAAGCAAAATACAAATTTTAGACTAGACTAAATGAACTAGTGTAGAATCTGCTGCTCCTACGTCTGTGGTGACCAAATGTCTCATGTTAAAAGTAAGTACCTTTGTAGAAATTGGCCTGAACTGCTGGTGACACCATTCCAGAAACCAGGAATGTGAGCTTGTTATAAAGCAGGTGATCAAATGAAGCCTGAGGTATGGGGAAAATATCAACTGAAGAAACAACCAAGGAGAAAAGGCAGTTTGCTGGCAGGTTCTGGTTGCTATGGATAGTGGAGAAACTGGATGGTAGGAGAAGCCAAACAGGTGACTGTCCTGGGAGAAGGTAAAACTGACAACTGTTAGCTAGAAATGGACAAAAAAGCTAACAGAAAACAAGTCTCAAACAGCCCTTTCATTTTAAGACCCTGTGCCGTTAATGCTTCTAGTTATGTGCACGACACCACAGATTTCCTGAGGAAAATACAATCTTTGAATAGCCTTCCAGAGCAGTGGTGTACCAAGCCTATTTGACAGCCAGGGCTGATAATTTTTTAACTCAATTTTTTTGCCATCAAGTCACAGCTAACTTATGGTGACCCTGTAGGGTTTTCAATGCAAGAGACATTTGGAGGTGGTTTGCCATTGCCTGCCTCCATGTCGGCCCTGCTTAGTTTCTGAGATCTGACTAGGTCAGATCTCCAGGTCAGGGCCCCTCCTCTGTACAACAAAATTATTTTCATTAAAAATCATGAAATAAAATGAATAATAATGATGACCAGAAAACAGATTCAGATGGGTAGCCATGTTGGTCTGAAGCAGCAGAACAAAGTTTGGTCTTAAAGGTGCCACTGAACTCAAACTTTGTATTTAATGGCCGGAAGAGAAACACTGACAGTGAAAAATTCCTTGTATTTAACTTTGTATATATAATCATGCCAGTAAAAAAAAAATCAAATTCCAATATGCTATTCCATCATGAGAGCCAGTGTGGTGTCATGCTTAATGTGTTGGACTAGGATCTGGGAAATCCAGGTTTGAATCCCCACTCATGCTATGGAAGTGTGCCGGGTGACTCTCAGTCTTGCCCTGACCTGGATAACCTCCAAACATCTCTTGCCTTCAAAACCCTGCAGGCATGCTTAATGTGTTGGACTAGGATCTGGGAAATCCAGGTTTGAATCCCCACTCATGCTATGGAAGTGTGCCGGGTGACTCTCAGTCTTGCCCTGACCTGGATAACCTCCAAACATCTCTTGCCTTCAAAACCCTGCAGGGTCACCATAAGTCTGTTCGCGGGGTAGGGCGGGGTAGAAATACTTGAATCCTACGCAGGTGTCAGGCTCTTAAGATATCACATATGATGATATAATGTAACAGTATATATTGACTACTGAATTATATTATCTACTAGCAGTAAAGCCCGTTGTGGAAATAAATACAACGGGATCTAGGAAGAGGCTCTGGGGGAGTGCTCTGGCTTTGGGCAAACAGTGTCATTTTGCTGTGGTGACCTCAGCAGGGTATAATGGCAGAGTCCACTGTTTTCTCCAGAGGAACTGATCTCTGCTCCCTGAAGAGCAGTTGTAATTTTGAGTGATCTGTAGCCCTCACCTGGAAATTGGCAACAATTGTTACCCAGGACGAAATGGCTGGTTTGGAGGGTGGAGTCTATGGCATTCTACCTGTCTGATGTCCCACCCCTCCGCAAACCCCACCCTCTCCAGGCTCCACCCCTCAAATCCCCAGGTATTTGCCAGCCTGGAGTTGGCAACCCCATCTCCTTCGCAGCTAACCATCAACCTACAGCAGGGCTCTTCTTATGTTCTTATATAAGTTGGAGAGTGTTGGGCTATGTCAACAGCGGCATTAGTGAGAAACTCAAAGTAGGTCTGACAGGGACGGCTATAGATTCTGTTGGAAGGCCTACAAGATGGTGGCGATAGTGGCAAAGGAAGTGCATTTGACCTTGGAATCTATGACAGTTTCCTTCACAGATATCAATCTTGGTTACTGAAATATTTTAACGAGTCCCTGTTGTCCATCATAGATCAGTCTCTGACTCAGGGTGATTTTACTCAGGTGCTAAAGGAGGCGGTTATCCATCCACTATTACGATTGCTGGAGAAGAACGATGGAGACACTTACTATCCAACACCAGCACCAACCCCATGTCTTATTTCTCAAGAGAGACGCCAAGCTCTTCCTTCTTTTGAGAAGTTTCTCCTAGAACTCTCCCTGAACTGGATGGCCCAGGTTAGCCTGATCTCATCAGATCTTGGAAAGTAAGCAGGGTTGGACCTGATTAGTATTTGGATGGGAGACCACCAACAGTGGCTACACAAAGGCAGGCAATGACCCCTGAACACCTCTTGCCTTGAACACCCTGCAGGGTCACCATAAGTCTGTTCGCGGGGTAGGGCGGGGTAGAAATACTTGAATAAATAAAATAAAATAAAAAATATATATGTGTGTATATATATGTATATATATTTGTGTGTGTGTATATGTGTGTGTATGTGTGTGTATGTGTGTGTGTATATATGTGTATATATGTGTATGTGTATACATATATCCATCACACCACTCACGTTCTGAGCAGGCACTGGGAAGGGCTTCTGTTCTCCATTTTTAAGCCTAAGAGCTGACCATCCCAAACAACTACAAGGCATTTTTGAGAGCTAGAAGCCTGCCTTTGCACTAACTTTTACTAAAACTAGCCAAAGCATCATAAAATAGTGATCACAAGCGTCTCCTCTTTTCCACATGTTTCCCATTCGTTTCTGGCTTCCTTTACCTAATTCTCCTGTACCCCCTTTATTTTCACTTGTTGGTCTCTAGACCTTCTCATCCCTATCCTGCTTGGCCAAGCCTCCCCTGCCCCCCTTGGTATGCCACTGTTCCAGAGAATACTATCTTGGCCTCTATGGATGTGGAATCTCTGTACACCAACATCCCATACAAAGATGGATTACAAGCCATAAGAAACATGATTTCTGACAACACCACAGGTGACGTTGCCACCAAACTCTGCCATTTTGTTCTCACCCATAACTACTTCAAATCTGGTAACAATTTGTACCTTCAGATTAATGGTACAGCCGTGGGCACTTGCATGGCACCACAGAATGCTAACATCTTCGTGGCTGACTTGGAGTAATGCTTCCTTAACTTCTGGCCACTCACACCTATCCTATACCTGCATTACATTGATGTTACCTTTATTGTCTGGACATATGGTAAAGAAGCCCTGGGCAAATTTCACCAGAAGTTCAACAATTTTCACCCCACCATCAATCTGACAATGAACCAGTCTCTTCAAGAAATACATTTTCTGGACACCACTGTACAAATACATGATGGACGCATAGACACCACCTTATACTGGAAACCAACTGATCAACAAACATATCTCCATGCATCCAGTTACCATCCTAAGCATACCAAACAGTCTATTGTCTACAGCCAGGCTCTACGCATCTGTTCCAATCCTACAGACAGAGTTTCTCATCAGAGAGATCTACAACAAACCGTTTTGGAACCAAAATATTTATTTATTTATTTATTAAATTAGATTTACTAGTATACCCCTCCCTACAAGCAGGGCACAGGGTGGCTTACAACAAGTAATATGCATACAAACTACATTAAAACAGCCTAATAAATAAAAGTAGATAAAAACAGTATGTATACAATGCTTAAGATGGCAGAAAATCCTAGCTCCCCGGCCTCCCTCGGATGAAGTCAAGAAATAGATTAACAAAGCCAGAACAATACCCAGAGAAAGCCTATTACAAGACAGGCCCCCCAATCTTAAACAACTCCTCAACCACAATAATACAACTTCTAATTTGAATGTGGACACTGATACCAGAGCTTGCAATAAACCCAGATGCCAACCTTGCTGCCACATACACCCAGACAATGCAATCATGGAACCTAACACCATTAACTACACCATCTCAGGCTCATTCACTTGCTCATCTTCTAACACTATATATGCCATTAAATGCCAACAAAGCCCTTCAGTTCTCTACATAGGTCAAACAGGTCAAATCCTACACCAAAGGATAAATGGTCACAAATCTGACATCAAGAATAATAAGACTGAGAAACCTGTAGGAAAACACTTCAACCTTCCAGGACATTCAATGGGTGACTTCAAAGAAGCTGTTTTATTGCAAAGGAACTTCAGGAACAGACTAGAAAGGGAAATTGCTGAGTTACAAATTATTACGAAAATCAGAAGAAGAAGAGATTGGATTTATACCCCGCCCTTCACTTCCCAAAGGTGTCTCAGAGTGGCTTACAAACTCCTCCCCCTCCCCCTCCCCACAACAGACACCCTGTGAGGTAGGTGGGGCTGAGAGAGCTCTTGACAGAAACTGCTCTTTTTCAAGAACAGCTCTTATCAGAGCTACGGCTTGCCCAAGGTTATCCAGCCAGGTGCAAGTGGAGGAGTGGGGAATCAAACTCGGTTCTCCCAGATTAGAGTCCGTGCACTTAACCACTGCACCAAACTGGCAAACAATGGAACTCCCAGGAAATAACAGGGATATTGGTTTCTTATAGAATCATAGAGTTGGACTGGACCTCCATGGTCATCTAGTCCAACCCCCTTCACAATGCAGGAAATTCACAAATACCTCCCACCACCACCCCCAGTGACCCCTGTTCTATGACCAGAAGAGGGCAAAAACAAAAAAAACAAAAACACCCCACCTCCAGAATCCATGGCCAAACTGGCCTTGATAGCAATTTAATCTTTGTCATGGTCTCTGTGCAGCCCCACACATGGGTTGGGCACCTGCGCATGACCTCTACTGGAGAAACTTCTAGAGCTTTGCCTCAGAAAGCTTTTGGCGGGCTCTTTTCCTGCCCTGGGGAGCAGGCACGTACTGTGCATGCCTGGAGCGGGGGAGAGAGCCACCTCCCACTCAGTTCTTCTTTGACTGCCTGCGTGTTCGCACCTCATTTCTGTTGCTCTCCATATTTGCCTCAGCTAAGTATATTTGTTCGTCTTCCTTCTTCAGTCTTTGTTCCTTTTTACTTCCCTTTCTTTCCTCACTACTTCTAAAAAAAGAAAAGAATAAACCTTTTTTCTTCACTTTCTTTCCCCCCCCCCCTCCCCTATTTGGTGGGTGGGGTGGAGAGTGTATGGGTAAAAGTAAGCTTTTTAAAGTGTGTTGTCATTGCCCAGCTAAAATTCCTTCGAACGACAGTCACAATTTTTGCCCTATTTCTCTGGGGGAATCCAATAGAGTCGATAGCTGTGTCCATCGCGTAAGCAAGCTCATAATAGAGAGGCTCGAGTTTGGCCTGTGCTTTTAGAGGCAGCTCTGCGCCCTACCATGGCTTCGGCCGTTTCTCAAAGATCGGATGGGGCTCCGAAGGCACCAAAGCTAAAACCTAAACGGCCTGATGATAAGGCTCCATCGAAATCGAAAGTCAAGCCCTCGACCTCGCCTTCGACTTTGGCTGTCGACCCGGTCGTCATTACCGGCTTAACGACATCAACTCCTGCTGTGCCTGTTGTACCCCACAAGTCCACTTTGCGACCTCCGACACCACCGCCTACGCTCTCTTCAGTGTCTGGCCTCATTCCGCTGGGTCAGTCTACGAGATTGCCTCCTGAATTGTCATCTCACTGGGATTCTCGATCTCCGTCTCCACACTCCTGTACCCCGATTTGGAGGGCAGGGAGCATTCTGTCGGCCGCCGTTCTTGATCTCGATACGATCAAAAGCATCTCATTTGTCATCTGTCACCTTCCCCTTCGGGATCGCCTTCCGACGACAAATACTGGTCTCCTGATGAATGAGATTGGCCTGCTTATTATCCTTATTACTATCCAAGGTCTCCTACTCCTCAGCGGCACCACTATAATCACCTTCGTCACTTTGAATGTACTGCGCATCAATGTATTTCGGATCACGGCAGACGCTCTCGGTCCGTGACTTTGACGCGCTCTGTGGCTCCTCACCATCCTCCTGAGCTCTCGAGACCTAGGGATGCCACAAAGTGTTCTCCCTTAGAACCTGGGCTTCATCCCCCTATTGATGACCCTATGCCGGCTGATCTCACTCAACCACTGAGATCATCCTCTCCCATGTCGATCTCTGACAACTCGGATTCGGAAGACCTTGAACTCGATGTTCCACACATCGACGATGAGCCTCAGGGCTCGGGTTCTATTTCCCCCACTGAGGGCCCGAAAGCTTACTTGGAACTGGTAACCAGGATGGCCTCTGCGTTTCAGGTCCAGGGTTCCACTGAATCCCCCGCTGTGATCGATGTTGTTCACAAGCTTGTTCAGGCCAACCTCCCGCCTTCTACGGCCCTGCCTCTGCTGCCGGTCCACCTTTCTGCCCTTAAAGAGTCGTGGGTCCATCCCACTTCAATTCCCCCAGTCTCTAGATAATACAAAGCTCTCTATAAGGTCCAAAAGAACTCGGGGAAGTTTCTCTTTAGGAAGCCTCCGCCAAATTCCATGGTGGTACACTCTTCCTCAAAATCGAAGCAATCTGCCCACCACTCTGCACCTCCTCACCGCGAGGGTCGCAAGGTCTATGTTATTGCTAAGAAGATGTATTCCTTTGCCTTTATGAGTCTTCGTATTGAGACCTACCTGTCATACTTATGCTTTTAATGTGGCTAATGCAGTATGTCCCGTCTTGGAGTTTGTTCCAGAGGAACACCGTCCCACATTGTCAGGAGCTTTATCGGAAATTTGTACAATATCAAAACAGCAAATTAATTCAGTCCGTCATGCCGTCACTTGCTCCTCAAAGGTCCTAGTCTCCTCCATCGCCCTGCGTCGCCATGCTTGGCTAAGAGGTACTTCTTTACAGCCCGATGTGAAATTTTGGATTGAGGACCTCCCGTTTGATGGTGAAGGTCTCTTTCACTCTACCACTGATGAGGCTTTGAATGCCATGGATGATAGCCAGAAGCAGGCATGGAACCTTGGTGTCTCAACCTCGACGCCTCGACATCGGTACCGTTCCTGGAAGCCGTACTATGCCAGTCGCCAGCTGTCTCCCGCGCCCACCTCCCAATGGAGGAAGAGTCCCTATGACTCCCGTTACCTGAATATGGGGTGCCAACAGGCCCCTAAAAAAACCCAGCAGCCCAAGCAGTCCATTTGACCACTTCAATCACCTGCCGACTTACCTCACTTTGTAATCACCCCCCCTGGATCCTCTCCTCCATTCCGAGATTTCCACGCTTCTGACCAAGGGCGCCATTGAGGTTGTCCCGGAGGCGCAATGAACCCTAGGCTTCTATTCCAAGTATTTCCTTGTATCAACGAGGGATGGCAGCTTCAGGGCCATTATGGATCTTTGGGATCTCAATGGATACATTCAATGCCACAAGTTCCGAATGGTCACCCTACAATCTATTCTTCCACTGATTCCCAAGGCTGCATGGCTCGCCTTTGTCGATCTCCCGGATGCGTATTTTCACATCACTATCCGTCCCCAGCATCGAAAGTTCCTGTGTTTCACTGTCGGCAACGCACACTACCAATACTGAGTCCTCCTATTCGGACTCTGCACTGCCCCGAGGGTTTTTACCAAGCTGATGGCTGTGGTGACTGCAGACCTCCATCGTCATGGAATTGCCCTGTATCCCTATATCGATGACTGGCTTCTCATGGCATCCACGCAAGGCCAGCTCCTCCACAATGTCCAAACAACTCTGTCTCTCCTTCGTGCCCTTGGACTTTGTGTCAACCTACCCAAGTCGTCTCTCCAACCTGTCCAGGTCCTTCAATTTCTGGGTGCCCGGCTTGATACCAATCTCGAGACCATGTTTCTCCCGAACTCAAGGGCCTCCGACATACTCTCATTGGTCTCGCAGTTCCAGACCTCCAGCTCTGTCCCCCTAGGAAGCCCTTGGTGCCTTCATGGAGTCTGTCACTCATTCTCACTCAACTTATGTCCAAGCCGTTCAAGCCCATGGCTACGGTCGACCTCAGGTTGCTTTCCTGGTAGACAGCCTTCCTTATAGCAATTACTACTGCTCATAGAGTAGGGGAATTAGCTGCCTTTCAGGCTGATCCCCCTATACAATTTTTCATAGGAAGAAGGTTGTCCTTAGACTAGATCCTTCTTTCCTGCCTAAAGTCGTTTCTGCTTTTCACCAGTCCCAGTCGTCTGTCTTACCTTCTTTCTTTCCAAATCCGACTGATGCACCTCAGAGAGCCTTCCACTGCCTCGATGTGCGCAGAGCGCTCTCTTTTTATTTACATAGGACTCAGCCTATACGTAAATCTCCTCGGCTGTTCCTTTCTTATGGCCCCCCTCATGTGGGGGAGCCAATTTCCTCTCAATGCTAAATGGGTGACTTCTACCATAGCCCTTTGCTATAAGCTTGCATGTCAACCCATTCCTACCTGTGTCAATGCCCATTCCACATGGGCGGTGTTGACATCCACCGCTTTCCTGGCTGTTGTTCTGCTAGAGGACGTCTGTGCGGCTGCTACGTGGTCCTCAGCATCGACCTTCATGACCCACTACACACTCAATGTCCAAGCTCAACAGGATGCTGCATTTGGCCAGTCGGCGCTGAAGTCTCTCTTTGCTTGACCCTGCTGCGTCCCTAGGTTCAGGACCCTTGGGTGCTTTTTCTCACTGATGATGCTGTGTCTTAACCAGTATTCTTTGTGTTTTCTGCAGCTGCCAGCTCCCTCCTCCAACTGGTTCAGCTCTTGTAATCACCCATGTGTGGGACTGCACAGAGACCACAACGAAGATAAACAGGTTGCTTACCTGTAACTGATGATCTTCGAGTGGTAATCTGTGCAGTACTACAATCCCCCCCCCCCAGCCTTCCCCACTGCTGGCATCTCCTGTTCACCATTCTTTGGCTTGATGGGACTTACCGGTAGCGGTCAAAGGAACTGAGTGGGAGGCAGCTCTCTCCCCCGCTCCGGTCAAAGGAACTGAGTGCCTGCTCCCTAGGGTGGGAAGCTCTAGAAGTTTCTCCGGTCGAGGTCGTGCGCAGGCACCCAACCCATGTGTGGTACTGCACAGATGACCACTTGTTAGCCGAATTGCTTTATTTACAGCAATTGGCAATTTATAAATGGGTCCTTGCCAACTATACCAAGGTCCTGTTCCCACCAAGGGATACCAGTAAAAGATTTCGAGGCTGTTGTGGTTAAAATAGATGTCTTTTACTTAAGAAAATAAATCTCATACAAACAATACTGATGCACTCACACATTCAATCAAGTTCCTTAGAAATACAGTATTATTAGCAGGTGGGGGTGCATTAGCAGGTGGGGGTAATGATGGGCAATACTTATCTGTCTTGCAGAGTAGTTGTTCCAATGAAGAATGGATGGGAAGAAATAGAAACTAAAGGGATCCACACTACCAGAACTTAACCGGACTATGTGGGGGGGGGGGTCTCTTGGCTGCGGACTAACCTACTCTTGGGACAGACTAACCTACCTGTTAGTCCATCCCAAAAACAATCCTATTGGTTGCCTATAGGAGTGGGAGGTTACCTATAAGGAGTGGCCAATATTGTAATCTAAAACCTTACTCAAAGGATGGCATCTGGGCAGGTGTGAAAACCTTGGCGTCAGGATGCTTCATTGTAGTGTTGATGAAGCTGGCCATTCCATTGTAAACCAAATGTCCATTTGGCAGGAAATACCAATGCAAGAACAAAGCAGTGATGGCTAGTATGTGACTACAACTATTTCTGCAATGGGGGCTGTCTCTTCTCCAAGCTGTTGTTTCTTACTGCTCACAATAATGGAGGTGTGCGCTTCTTCACCAGGCTGGTAACTGTGTAACTGAAACCTTAAGGCTTGTGCAGGCACCTTCTATGTGTTACATCACAACAGGTGCCTTGAAATGTACAGTTCTCTGAGCCTATGTGGGTGTGTGCACAGTCCATAGTGTGTAACAATAAATATAGTTCATAAATCAAAATATCAAGTTCATTCTCTAACACACTCGAAGATCATCAGTTACAGGTAAGCAACCTGTTTTTCCTGACCCCAAAGTGGTGATCAGCATTTCTCTGGGCATGTAAGAAAGGGCCACAAGAACTAAGCACTGAGGCAACCCTACCTGCCCTCCCTTCTCGTGATCTGCCTAAGTTCACAGAATCAGTATTGCTGTTAGATAGCCATCTAGCCTCTGTTTGAAAACCTCCAAAGAAGAAGAGCCCACCACTTCCTGAGGAAGCCTGTTCCACTGAGGAACCACTCTAACTGTCAGAAAGTTTTTCCTAATGTTTAGCTGAAAACTCTTTTGATTTCATTTCAACCCATTGATTCTGGTCTGAACTCCTGGGACAACAGAAAACAACTCTGCAGTATCCTCTACATGACAGCCCCTCAAGTACTTGAAGATGGTTATCATATCACCTCTCAGTCATCTCCTCTCCAGGCTGAACATACCCAAGCTCCTTCAACCTTTCCTCATAGGACAGTCTCCAGACTTTTCACCATCTTCATTGCCCTCCTCTGGATATGTTCCAGCTTCTCTATATCCTTCTTAAATTGTGGTGCCCAAAACTGAACACAGGCTGCGGTCACACGGAGCATTAGCCATGCTACAGAGACGGAAGATAGGCAGATTTTCCGGGCACGATCAAACCGCAACATCTGGGAAGCGTAGAGCTCCCCTGGCTAACCCAAAGCTTCCCGCCAAAGATGCGCCATAAAAAACTAGTACCTCCAAGGTACTAGTTTCTGGAAACCAAGGGCGGGCGTCTGATCATGTTTCCGGTGGTAGCTCGTGGCATCCGGCGCCCGCCCATGTCCCGTCATGAAAAGTTTTTTTCAGGTCTCCACGGGATGCGCACAAGCACCCAATGGCGCATGCACACACTTTGGTTAAAAAAAACACAACCCCCACCGCGCCGCTTCTTTGCAGTGCCGCAGGATTGATGTATGATCAGCACCTCCCCCGAACCACGGGACGTCGGCGGGACGTTTGATCCGGTGGTTCGCTCTGGGGCAAACAGCCACGCCTCCCTCCCCCGCGATATCCGGCCCATGTGACCAGGGCCACAATACTCTAGGTGAGGTTTAACCACAGCAAAGTGATTCTGTCACTTTGCATGATCTGGACATTATACTTCTGTTTGCCTTTTTAGCTACCGCATCACACTGCTGACTCATGTTCAGTGTATGGTCTACTAAGACCCCTAGATCTTTTTTGCACATACTACTGCCAAGACAAGTCTCCCCCATCCTATAATTATGCATTTGATTTTTCCTTCCTAAATGCAGAACTTTACATTTATTCCCGTTGAAATGCATTTTATTTGTTTTACCCCAGTTTTCCAGCCTGTCAAGATCATCCTGTATCCTGTAATGAATAGTAGAATGTAATGTAATTTGGAATGGTAGATTGGAATGTATTTCTCTGGTCTGGGGACAGGGGAGATAACGCTACACAGCCAATCGCCCCATTTCAAAGAAGAGGATGCTGTAAGGTTGCCTCCACTCTTGAGAGATGGATGGAGCTTCTCAGTTAATTACTCTCAGCATTCCACAACTAAGAAGGATACATCTACCCATCAATCTCCGATTCTGATATATTTATTTCCTTTACTATGTTTTTTCCCTGGAATTAAGCCCAAACAAATGGTGACCATATAAAGTAAGCTTGTTATTCCAGTTTGGTCCTTGCATCTATCAAACAGTTTTGTTAAGCTGTATGCTAATTTGCTGCTCACCCTCTACCTATACGTATGGACTGGTAACTTCCATTTCAATGTATCTGAAGAAGTGTACATGCACACAAAAGCTCATACCTCGAATGAATACAATTTCCTTGGTCTTAAAGGTGCTGCTGGACTCAAACTTTGTTCTGCTGCTTCAGACCAACACGGCTACCCCACCTGAACTTATCTAAAATAATTGAAACAATTTCTTTAATAAATCCCTCTAGCGATGAGCAGAAGGGGAAAGTGCTAGAAATATTTTCAATTTACTTCAGCCTTTGAAGGAATACAGACAATACC